CTCATTGATAAGGTATTGAGACTAAGGTTTTTCTAGTCCACAGTTAGGTTGTAGTGCTTGGTTATGCCATCCCACAATATTGGTTACCCTGGCCCACAATGCTGGTCCCACGTTTCAGTTTAGTGGGCCACAAATTTGATTCTGGGGATTGGTTTTGATGTAAAAGAACATGTTATTATTCCCATAACTAAATTCGATCGGTATACCCTGCTAAAAGTCCTGTTATCGCTGTGAATATATGCACGATTAACCCTCTGACCACCACAAAATTGTGGGATGGCAAATTGTAGGAGTAACCTTGGTGGTGTTGAACATTTATATATACAATCTTATAGTAGAACAGTGTGTACCAATATTGAGGTAACTGATTTTGTTTGCCTACTTTACATCATGTTGTATAAAGAGACTGAAATTTATGGTCAGAGGTAGGGTCGTCATCGGCCTGCCGATATATCGACCCTGTTTTTCACAAATTTCGAAAGATCGGTATCCGCTAATTTTACCGATATATATCGGCCAATCATGTGACTGCCAAAGTGTCAAAATTACGTCGGAATACAGTTTTATCATTATCCCTCAATTATGTCGTAGTGCTTGACAGCTTGGTTACCCCACAATTTCAGTTACCTCGGCCCACAATTCTGGTCCCTTGTTTCCGTTTAGTGCAAATTTGATTATGGGGATTGGTTTTGATGTAAAACTAAAAGAACATGTTATTAGTCCCATATCTAACTTCATTAGGTATACCCTGCTAAAAGTCCTATAATCGCTGTAAATATATGCAGGATTAACCCTTTGACCACTACAAAATTGTGGAATGGCAATTTGTGGGAGTAACCTTGCGTAACATTGAGCATTTAGATGTATAATCTTAGAGTAGAAATAGTGTGTACCAATATGGAGGTAACTAATTTTGTTCGCCTATTTTACATCAAGTTGTGTAGAGGGACTGAAAGATAAAATTATGGCCTAACCGTAACCTGGTACACACACTAAGGCTGAAACAGGCATCCTGATTAATCAAGTTCAGTTTATTATATATTTGCCACTGATATCCAACAATATGTAATGGGCTACTATTAGTTGAAGAACTGTAACCTTTCTTACTTGGCATTCTTTCATTAGTAATGCTAGAGGTTTGACAATAATTATTCAAGCAATATAACTCATCCACATGGTGGCACCAAAGGTTTAATTATTTCAATACAAAATAGATGGCGGTTTTATCTAACAGACATTGTTTATCTTTCTATGTTCCAGATTCACGAGATGGCTGTGGTGATGAGGCATGCTGCGGATGTTGACGATGAGCAATATCTCAGAGATTATGAAGAATTATCCAGATTGCAAACAGAAAATGACATTTTAAGAGAAATGCTGTTGATATCTAAGAGTTCATTTGGATCAAGACTTATAACCACTGAACAGAAAGATTCTGGAAAGACTGACAAACCAGAGAATGAATCTGAAATGGTGCTCACTGACGATACTACTAGTGACAAGACGGTTATACATGAGGGGGAATCCCCCTAAAACTACTCCCCAGACAGTTATTTTATTACAATAGGGAGGACGTTTATGTTCCTTCGAAGGGTACTCCCGTAGTATGTGTGTACCAGGTTCATAATTCATTCAGATTTTTCTTATTTAAGTTTTATTTTGAGTTCGGGACTGTCTATGTTAGCCAAGTGGATATACCCCCTGCCCATAGGTTTCAGTCCCTTTACACAACTTGATGTAATGTAGGCAAACAAAATTAGTTACATCCATATTAGTACACATACTGCTGGAGCGTCCCTTACTCTTGTTATTCCTTGTGTTTCTATCGAAACTTAGTATTGAGAAAATATATCTGGTTCATACAAAGTACTCTGCACGAGGCTGTAGGCTGTCCAGGCGTTTTGCAGGTTTGCATTGAAATCCTGTAGTCTATATCAGGGCTACTCAACTGGGGGCCGCGGCCCGACTTCGGACCTTTCGGGTATTTGATCCGAACGCATAATTCTTCATTTTGGATCATTAGCCCACTTTTGAAGTTTCCTTTTAATAAATCACTTTTATAGATTTAAAAATATATATGAAAAGAACTATAACACCATAGCAAACAATCTTGATTAATAATAATCATTAGTCGACCGAGGAATCGTGTGCTTGAGGAAGCCGAAATATAATGTCTGGAAAGTCCGGACCCAAATATTTTTTAAGTTTTGTATGCGGACCTCCGGTAAAATAGTTTCAGTAGCCCTGGTCTATTATATATATTTATCATTGTTTAAATATAATTAAATACACGGATATAATATAATAAGTGTGTTTCATGAGAGACTTTCATTTCCTCTACATTAGAGGTAAGATCAATTCCGGCCAGACTCAGGCATTGGGGCAATGGTTTAGTACAAATCGCACTGGTGTAGTTTTCAAAATGAATATCGAACTGAATAGAACATTCATAAAAAAAAGAATACTAAGTTGAAATATTGCACATCCGTGACAGACTTAGCATTTTAGAGTTTTATACCAATTGGGGTTAGAGGAAAACGGATAAAATTGCCCTTGTACCTGTAGGTGGAATTCTACAGCTAGTCTTACTTCTGGACAAAAGCAGTGAATTGTTTTTTATTTCATAGTTATCATCATACTGTGAAATGAAGTTTTTATTTTTGGTTAATTTCCTCGCTATTCAGATACCTTCAGAATTTAATTATGTAAATGGTAGTTCAACCACAAGCTATATATCGAGTTGTCTTGTCTAAGTCCATAAGCATTAGATATAGTAAATACAAGTTCTTGTATTGTTAGGGGTGTGCAACTGCAGCACACGTGCAAATGCAGCCCTGAAGAAAAGATTGTGCGGCCCTCTGAAAAGTGCCATATTTGAATGGTGTCACGAGATTTTATTTTTGTAATTCCAATTCTTTACGTTGCGAAGCCTATATCTGAGTCCAATTCATTGTCAATGCCTATGACATTGCAATGGCCCAACAGCTAGCTCGTGCAAAGCGAACTACTCAAGACTACCGTATGTATATAAAGCTGCAGCCGCAGTATCACCCAGTTATTTGCTATCTGGCCCTAACGATGGCGCATCCCTGAGGGAATGGCCGATAAACAAACGGTTATTTAAATACATACTGAAATGGTATTTTTGAACATATTCCTAATGTTTAGTAAAGAATACGTTTCCTGGATAAATATTCGAATCAGATTGGACATTCCTGATACTCTATCATGTTGGTCTTATTCAGTAATAAAAATGTTTAAAGGGGTTTTGCTGATTTATTATTGGTATCATAGTAGAAGTATGTGTACCAATATGGAGGTAACTAATGTTATTCGCCTACTTACATTCAAGTTGTGCTAAGAGAATGAAACCTTATGGACAGGGGGTATATTCACTGGCTAACACAGACAGTCCCCGAACTCGTAATAGAACTTAAAATAAGGAAAATTGGAATAAAATTATGGCCTGACCCTAACCTGGTGCACCACACTACGGGAGTACTCACAATTGGACCCCATACCACTCATAGTGTAATAAATGGTTACTAAGACTGGTTTATACATTTGGAGTGGAAAAGTTGCAGTCCCCCATATTGAAACAATTTCAGCTTGATAATCAATTTTGCAAGATCACACATTCTTTATATCAAATTGGTTCGAAAAACCACATTAATGCATATCAAATTATTTATAAAGTTGAAACATATAAAAAAATATTTTACTGGAATAATAACTCTGGTATTTCTGCGTCAGAATCTTTTAATAGTTTGTAAATACAGTATTGGCTTGTCGCATAAATTGTTATAAAAATATTAACACATTCGTTTATATTATTAATTAAATTTGTTTTATATAAATATTAGAATACACTTGAGCACATAAGCCAAATTAATTTATGTGCAAGAGAATACAAAGTCACAAATTTTCAAAAATAATTTGCTGGGAACTCTTGATTTTATATTGTCAGATGCTTTATATTAGGTACTCCGAAGTATGTAAACCAAGATGGCGGACACCGGAACATAGTTGTACCAAGGCCATAATTTTCCTTTTTTAGTATTACAAGTTCGGGGACTAGCCAAGTGACTCCCGTAGTAATTGTACTGAAATTATGGCCTAACCCTAACCTGGTACACATACTACGTTCTGGTGTCGGCCATCTTGGTCCACATACTTCGGTAGTACCTTATATTATACAGAACTTGGCTTGGTTGCATGATTATAAAAATACTATTGGATATTGATATATATACAGCGGTGGGTTGACAATTAGAAGCTCAGAATTGTATAGATCTATTTACAGCAGAAGCGGGAACCTACGGAATAATTATACAATATATCATAAAAGTAATATATTAAAATGCATAAGAAACAACATTGAAACTTAGATTAATAATATATTTAGTTGTGGATAGCAATTAGGACCCAGGTAAAAATATTTATACAGATAATCTATTCAGCGTAATTCATGAGCTCAATAACACAGGTTTGGGTTGGACATTTTTTAAATCAAACCATACTTGATTAATTAATTTTTGTTAAAGTACGAACCAATGGGCATTCGGGTATAACCTGTCACAAATTGTCAAAACACTTTTCAGATATCTTGACTAACTTGAAAATGCCAGTTTATTTAACATATTATAATTAATAAAGAATTAATGCGAATACATAGCGTTTTGCTGATTGATTCCACCAAATTAAATATATTGGCAATACAATGTTTGGACTCGACTATGTTGGCATGTCTGATTAAATAACCCAAGTTCAATCATATGCCCGCTACCTCACCCAGAGTGTTGTAGACTGTGGAAAAAACAGGAATATTTAGAGAATTATAAAAAAAATGCCTCAAAAATATTAAATTATATGATAGCAGTCACTGATATCTAACAATATGTGAGGAGCAACTATTTATTTGAAAGTTTCAAAATCTTTTCTTTTGCCTACTCAATCTAATAGACCATGGGAGAGGTGAGGGGTGGAATTTAAACCTGCAATGTGTAATCGACGATGCCAGCGCAGTTAAGTCCTAAGCTTCAGCCGCATAGGGCATTTTACTTATTTGTCAATTCGCCTTACACAAATGGCACAAATACAATTCTTAATATGAAACTTTGTTATTTGTAATATTTGATCAAGAACATAATTTGCACAATGGCTGCAATGGTAATATTGTTTTGGCATTTGATGTAAATTTAATGAAGCAATTCCAGTATCCTATGCAGGGAACAGTACAATCAGTGTTGTAGGAAATCTTTCTGGATGTCGTCAACTTCAGTACCATGCGAAGGGAATCTGAGAAGTGGAAGAAAATTTTTACTGGAGGAAAAATATGTCGAAATGAAAATATAATTTTGATAAGAGGCAATAAGAAACTAGAATTTATTTCTCTACACACTGACTATAATACTGCAGCTTATTCAGACATAATCTGTTGAAGTCATGTTTTTGTTATATTTATTTATCTATCCAAGCTTGATATTTCCTACAAGCTGCAGAGCTAATTTTTTGTCACTGGTAAAATTACAGTATCTATGAAAAATATTAGTCATTTACATATCATTGGATGCTCGAACAGAGCCTTGTCTGGAGGTAAAAACATGAAAACGTGGAATAAAAAACCATTTATTCCTATATTATTAATATCACCATATCCTACACACTGTTTTGTCATCACTAATTCAATGAAATGACAGAGCAACTGATTGAACTCAAAAGAATGGGTGGATGTAAAAGTGGGACCTTGAACCTATATTGTCAATAAAACTGCCCAGAAGATAGAGTGTCTCATTGAAGATTGCGCTTTTGAATTTGCATTTTAAAAGCTTCAAAATCATGTTATTGTGACATCATATGTGACAGTAGAGCACTCTATGATGTATTTAGGGCTGGGCTTTTCAAATCGAATTATTAGAATCTGAGAAAATTTCATGTAAACAAGCAACCCTTTATCTACCTTCGATACCAATGCAAGTTCATTACTCAATTCAGTTTCAAGTGATGATTCTCCAACTTGTTATTTCAAGAATTTAAGACTATTCATACGGATGCATGTTGGGGAAAGTGGGCAAAGCAATATTTTGCCAGAGTGTCAAATGAATAAAACTATCTCACCCGTTCATCATACTTGAATCCTTTTGCCTCCAATGCTTCTTTCAGTTTCTTTGTATGGTTTGGATCTGGATATCCATTGCTGAAATAAAAAAGAATTCATGAACTCTGTTTGAGCCTGTTCCTAGAAAAATAATGGAAATTTGGTAAGTTTTCTGTTGAACAATAACAGATCCTGCCCGGAGAGTATTGAAAAACAGAATTGGGTTCTAGGAATAAAAAAATTTCGGCGCTCCTGAAGCATGTGAACCAAGATGGTGGACACCGGAACGTGGTATGCGTACCAGGTTTGGGTGAGACCGTAATTTTATTGCAATTTCCCTTTTTTTAGTTCTATTACGAGTTCGGGGACTAGCCAAGTGACTCTGAAATTATAGCCTAACCCCAACCTGTTACACATACTATGTTCCTGTGTCCGCCATCTTGGTTCACATACTTTAGGAGTACTAATACTGAGTACTCGTCTGAGAAATCAAAAAAAGTCATGATGGGTACAAACTATGGTTCGACAAACATTTAACTTTACCATAAGAGGCCATTTTAGTTTCTGTTAAAAAATTTGAGAAAACTTAATGTATGTCAGAAATTTCGACTTTTGCTTCAAAATTAAAACGTCTAAAATTAAAAAAATAATTAAGAAAATACGACTCTAGTTTTGAACTCGATACCAAAAAAATGTCAAAATTAACTTTTCTCTCGGCTCCCGTCACAGATCCTTACAATATCAGATAAAATGAAAATCATGCTGACTCATAAAGTCATAGCAAATAATCTTAACAAAACTGCTTGTCTGGAGCCTTGCTCAGGGTGAAGTATAACAATACCATTGGTACCAAAACCATAATTTGGATATCTAATCTATTTAATATATACAAGTTGTAGTCTTAATGGTTGAGTGGTTGTTTGGATCTTTGGATCAGACCCTGGTAGTTTAGAAGCATTAGGTGCCTTTAAATGAAGTAAATCATCTTCTTATAAAGATAGATGAGTTAAGTTTTCTTCAGAGCAAAGACAAGAAAAAAACGACTGGATAAAACAAAATAATTTTTAGAAAGCTATTTTATCCAATATGCCTTTTATGCTTTGCAAATCGTGAAAAATGAATTCCAATATTCTTATTGGTGAAATTTATTCCCCATAATTTTATTTAGCTGTTAAAATTAGACCCCAAAAGAACTGTGATGTAGTGCAAAACGAAGGGATAACAAAATTTTAAAATTAGTTTTATACCTTCCTATTTCCTAACATTTTATGAAGTAAGTAACCACCAAATATAAAACACACAAAGTACTTACTTTCCTGGTCCTCCAGTTTTCTTAGTCTTATGAGGAAACTCATCGTTCCTAACAATTTTTCCTCTTCTGTCACCAACTTCCTGAATCTTGAAAATCAATCCTGCATTGAATGCTTGTCTGAGTAAGTTGAAACATAGCAGTCCATCATCAGTCAATGGCAAATATTCAGTGAATTCTTGAGCTTCATATGAAACCCCCTGAAGAAACAAACATAACTAATCATACCTGGGGGTTTGTTAAACTGATATAAATATCAGAATATCTATGAAAGTTTAGCAGAAGTTGAAAATTTTCTATTAAAATACTTGCTGTTTTGAATAGATTAATTCAACTTGACAACTCAACAACTTAATTAAACATTGAAATCAGAAATTATAAGGAAGCCCGCTACATACTTAGCTTGTCATGATTTTACTGCACCATTGAATCAAATTCTAAATTAAACATGGAAGAACTAAATTCTATGAACAATTAAATATAAACAAACCACAAGTTTAATATTACTCAAGTTTCAACAAGCATGATCTATATATGGCTATGTTATGATTTTACTGCACAAAAGGCTTCTATATTCGAACTTTTTCTCAATAACAAACCTTTCAAATCTTTGATTTCCATTAGAACTGAATTCAATCAGCATACCAGTTTAAATTAATTATAGATGGACAAAGCATGAACCAGAGTCAACCCTTATAAGCATTATACAAAATACTGCCTGATTCTTTATATTCATATTTATACGAAAAGCAATAACTCATGAGGGTGAATGCAAACAAAGCTTTCAAGCTTCTGGACTGTGCAATGGCCTAATGCAGTGGTTACCAAAGGGTGTACCGCGGTGCACTAGTGTTACGTAACAATAGAGATAGACACTGCTTGCTGCAATTTCCCAAGCCGCAGTTTATTTATCTGTTGAACAGAGTTTGTTTAGAGTTTCAAAATAAAATCAGGCAGAGAAAAGTTGACATTAGGCATATATGTTTACAAACATAAAGTACACATTAATGATCACAATATTGAATTTTATTCAAATTTTTACCATTAGTGCGCCGTTAACAGTTTTTTCCCTAATAATTTAGAGCCTCACAAACAAAAGTTTTGAAACAGTTGGCCTAATGGTTGAAGTGTTGGGCTGAACTAGGCTGACATCACATATTGAACATCTCGGTTCAAATCCATGCCAACTACCTCACCCAGGATGAAATAAATTGGATAGGAAATGCAGAACCAGAAAATTCGAAATAAAAATATCTCCTTAAATATCATTAGATATCAGTGTCTGATAGCTTAAATTTCATTAAATATAAGATATGACAGAATTAACATATTTATTCTGGGGAGGAAAAAGCTGATAAGAGTCGTAATCAAGTGGCGAACCACAGCCTCTAATCCGGTTACCAGTCTATAACACGTAAGAAATGTTTATCCAGTTATTCGTTTTCAGAAGCATGGACTTGATAGTGGAGGAGGCTGTAACAGACCAGTGGTTACGTGAACCACCCTACTAAATATCAGTGACTGCTTGTATAGGGCCTTGTTCCGAGCAAAAGACATGAATAAACATCGCATAAAAAAGTAACATGACAGTACTATTATAAGAGAAGTCTTTGCCAATATATCACCATATTTGGAGCATTTATGAAATCAAAGTGTATGACAGAAAATTTTCTATTTTTCATTCACGTTTTTGTTCACATCATGTTTATTCAGTAAATTTTGACATATATAATGATTTTGCTTCTCAATTGCTTGTGACCCCTCAATGAATCAATTAAAGAGATTCACAATAACAATAATTGTACTGAAGAATTCTACGCAAACTATCAGATTGTGGGCATCCCTAAATATTGCTTTCAACAAATTATGATTCTTCATTTATTGCAATGGTATTTAACTCGGGAAAGAAATTGAAATCAATCGATGTTCAAATATGCTAATGTGTAATGGGGATTGATATTAAGAACCAAAACCTTATTAATTAAGAATCTTGATTCCAGTAAATCTGTAATTTATTTTCCAACCAACAATTAAATTTGTTTCCTAACTCACCTTCAGACTTCCAGCAGGAAATGAGTAGGTGATGACAATAGTCCTCCATCTTTCATACCC